TGTGAGAATTCGATTAACTTTAGTGACGTTAGAACCCTAAATAATTTTTTTTCCTTTTTATTAGCATATTAGTAATTGAAGTTAGAGAGGCTTTAAAGAAACTGAAGTGTGAAAAAACTGTTAGACCTGATGATATTTCAATAGAGGTGTGAAAATGCTTAAGAGATGGAGGAATTTCTTGGCTTATGAAACTTGTTAATATTATTTTGAAGACTAAAAAAAATGTCATATGAGTATGTTGATTCCTATATATATATGTTGCGGATCTATGGCTTATGAATTTGATAATAGCAAACATTCTTTTTTCTCTACAACTGGCTTATCTACTGACATTTCAGGTTCACACGATCGGACTGCAATTTGGAACCAGCTCAAGATTGGGTAGACTAGGTCTGAGTCAGTTTGTACACTTTTTCCTTTTGTTCGTTTTGTTTTTTGTTTGTGCCTCTTCTCTTTTTGATAATGTCAAAGGGGGAGAACGTACTGTTGAATTTGTATCCTTTTTTTTTCAAAAAATTTAAAACAACAAAAATATTTTTTATCTCCCCTATTTTTTAAAAAAGTATTATTCTAGTGAGAGGGAGATTAGAAGAAAATATTCCTTTTTACAAATTCAAATTGAAATGTTTGTCATCATCTAAAAGGGGGAGATTATTGCGGATCTATGGCTTTTGATTTTGATGATAACAAATATTCTTTTTTCTCTACAACTGTCTTATCTACTGACATTTCATGTTCACACGATCGGACTGCAATTTGGAACCAGCTCAAGATTGGGTAGACTAAGTCTGAGTCAGTTTGTACACTTTTTCCTTTCTTGAGCTTATTGTATTTGGTGTGGCTCCTGATGATTTATAACTTAGAAGATTTTCTGACTGTTCCCTAGAGTTTACTATTTTTTGTAACATCGTTCAGGACGATATTTATATCGGTCTGGATGATCGGTTCAAAAGCAAAAATCCTGATTAGAGCATCCTCATTAAAGCAGCCGTCATTATGTAAAACACATCATCCTGGATGATTTTGTATCGGCCAAGACGATATGCTCAATTCAGAAAAAATCTGCCGCCAGATCTACTTAGAAAATACTTATTTTTGGACATCGTTCTGGTGGATCGGCCTGGCCTATCAGGATCGGCCTGGCCGATCTAGAGTAATTTTTCTTAAATAAATCTGGCAATTAAGGAAAACAATTAATGGTGATTTGCATGATCACATCAGTCGGGCCGATCGCAAGATCGTCCAGGCCGATTGGACATCGTCCAGCTTCATTTCAGGGTGATGTTTAGGATGATTTTCCTCATATTTGAACTAATCGGACAGGACGATATGCCTATCGGCCTGGACGATAAAGTCTGCAACTTGCATTAATGAGCTCGTTTTTAGCTCTTCTATTTAAGAGATGTCAAAGCACTTTGTAAAGAGTCTTTGGCAGTCATTGTAGCTTCGTTCTTTTGGGGAAAACTTGAAGAGAAATCTTGAAAGGGAGTGAGGAAAGGGTGGAGTTTGAGAGAGGGAGAAGATCATGTGAGGGGGGACTCAAGGGAGTGTGGAGGGGGTTCCACACGGTTGCTCCGGCAAGCTCGCACCTGAATATCATCGGATTCAAGGTTTGTCTCGAGGGAAGTTCACCAAAGAAGAAGATCTCTTTGGTGTCAAAGGACCCGGTGACTCCACCGCACCGGGGAAGGTGGAAGTGATTTTGTAAGGGCTTCTCCGCCTAGCTGTGGGGGCTAAAGGAGAGACACTTAGTTTAATGTAGGGGTGTAAACGAGTCGAGTCGAGCTCGAGTCAGGGGGTGTTCGAGCTCGACTCGTGAGCCAAATATCGCTCGAACTCGAGCTCGAACTCGAGTCGAGCTCAAAAATCGAGCTCGAGCTCGACTCGCGAAACTGTAACGAGCCATCGAGCTGCTCGTCGAGCCGCTCGTCTAGCTTTCACGCCCGGCCTTTTGTTTTCCCGCCCAATTTTACCATGGTATTAGAAACCTATTGCATTCAAAAAAAAAAATAGCTATTGCATTGGGAGAAAAAAAAAAGCTGCTGCAGCATTTATTATGCTTCTTATTATATTATTTGGAAGGAAAAAAAGCTGCCAGCATTTATTACCATTTGTTAGAATAGACATTTGAGAGTACTTTTTGAAATTTTTTGAATTTTTATATAAAACTGTCGGTCTTGGTGGAAAAAAACTGATATCAAAGTTTTTTTTTTAATTGGTTCAAAATATTATTTTCGAGCCGGCTCACGAGCTCATGAGCCGAGCCGGCTCAAGCTCGAACTCGAGCTCGTTTACTAAACGAGCTTGAACTCGAGCTCGAGCTCGACTCGTGAGCTCGATAAGCTCGGCTCGCGAGCCTATAAACGAGCCGAGCTCGAGCCGGCTCGCGAGCCAGCTCGGCTCACTTACACCCCTAGTTTAGTGCAATACTTTGAGGGTGCCTCCAAGGAGTGGATGTAGGTCAAGGTTTGACTGAACCACTATAAATCCGGTGTGTTCTTTCTTTATTATTTCCGCACTTTAATTTTTGCACTTTGGTTTTTTTTGTGGTGATATTGGTTTTAATTTGTGTTTTGATTTAAAGATTTTTCTTTACCAATTCACCTCTCTCTTTATTAGCCTTGGGCCAGTTCATAAGGGGCCTAACATCCCTAACGAACTTTCAATATATATATGTTAGTCAAGCAAAGAGATAAGAGAAGTAAGGATTTTTTTCAAGTGAAGTGTATTAAAGATGAAGATCAAAAAATAATTTTTTTTAGAAGAATATATTTAACAAAGGTAATGAGATATTTTGAGAAGCTTGTCAGTAAAGATTGTGAGAATTTGATTAACTTTAGTGATGTTAGAACCCTAAATAATTTTTTTTTCCTTTTTATTAGCATATTAGTAAAATTGAAGTTAGAGAGACTTTAAAGAAACTGAAGTGTGAAAAAACTGTTAGACCTGATAATATTTCAATAGAGGTGTGAAAATGCTTAAGAGATGGAGGAATTTCTTGGCTTCTGAAACTTTTTAATATTATTTTGAAGACTAAAAAAAATGTCATATGAGTATGTTGATTCCTATTTTAAGAATAAAGGTGATGCACAAAAGTATGTGAATTATAGAGGAATTAAGTTAATGTGCCATACTTTAAATTTATGGGAGATAATTATTGAGCAAATGTCACGACAAGATATTAGTGTTTCTCAAAATTAACTTGGATTTATGCCGGGTAGATCTACTATGGAAGCTATATATTTATTGAGAGGTTTGATAGAGAAGTACGAAGAGAATTAGGTGGATCTATGTAGGATATTTATTGATTTAGAGAAAGCATATAAAGTTCCAACAGAAGTGCTATGGAGAGTTATAAAAAAGAAAGGGATTAATAATGCTTATATTCAAGTCATTAATGATATATATGTAGGAGTTGTTACTTGTTTTTAAACATAAGATTGTTTGACCAATCATTTTTCTATTTTAGTTGGATTTCAATTTTAAACTCATATTTTTTTTTTGCTTTAGTCATGGATGTTCTTACTAGACATTTGCAGAGAATGTATCATGATATACAATTTTTGCTCATGATGTTTGTACACCCATTAATACCTATGTAGGTACCAATTCACAGGTGTCTTGCAGATTGCGATTGGGTCAATCGATGGGAGGATGCACTCGTCTATCAAAAAAGCTGTTCAAAGGACTCGCTTAGGAGATGGAATGAGCATAATCGTAGAGCACGACAGAATGAGACCACCAACACATACAACAACTTTAAAAAATTTCCCTCTCACATACACCTAAAAACCACACTCAAATGCGACTCCTCTTTATCTCAACGAGTGACCCAGATCTACCTATCATCTCTCACTTATAACAATTAAATGACACTCATCCCCTCAGATCTCGGCAAGACGACTATTAATTATCATTCAATCTTATCTGACTTGCCTTTTGAACCACAGATTAGCTCGGCACCAACAATTCATTACTATAGGCTGATGGGACAACTATGCATTAGGACATAACTCCTATATCCATCCAAATCGTATAAAAAAGGGGGAGTATGAGAAGAGGGGAGGAGAACGAAAAAAAAAAAAGAGAGAGAGAGAAAGAGAGAGAGGAGACTAGGAGGAATGTATGTCAAAATACAGGGGGAAGAAAAAAGTAAAAAATTAATAATCTCTGAAGTAATCCAAAGAAGAGATTCTTATATCATTGTATTCTTTCTCACGTGAATCTAGCTCTATTGCACAAAGTCTTATTTTTATCAATTTTATATCTCTCATTTGGATGCTAAAGATATTGTCTTAATCTATATTATTCTCAAACTCACATCCTCTCCTTTCCATACATTCATATTTCATTACATTCTCCCCATGGCTCTCAATCTATAGGTAACATAAAGTACGAAATGTCATCATCCACCTAACAAAAATGGAATTTAACAACATTCTTCTTGTTGATAAGACAAAGTGTTGAAGGTAAATTAAATTATGGAGGTCAAACATAGTCTAAAGTTTTAGTTTGAGTAAATCAAAAATTGAATATATGGAGTGTAATTTTAATAGTGATAGATCTAGTGAGAGGATTGTGACTTTAAGTGATCAAGTCATTTATAAGAGTATATGTTTTAGATATCTCAGGTCTACTGTTTAGAGTGATGGTGAAATAAATGGAGATATTATTAATAGAATTCAGGTTGGATGGTTGAAGGGGAGGAATGCATCGAGCCTATTGTGTTATAGAAAAGTATCCCTCAAAGTTAAGAGAAATTTCTATAAGGTAGTTGTTAGATTACAATGTTTTATAGTACATAATGTTGGTTATTAAAAGAGAAGCATAAAATTAAGTGTTACAGAGATGAGAATGCTCAAGTGTATAAGTGGTTTTACTCTTAGAGATAAAATATGAAACGAGCCTATACATGAATAGATTAGAGTAGCTCCAATACTAGATAAGAATAAAGAGATTGACATTAAATGATTTAGTCACATAAAATGTTAACCTTCCAATGACCCAGCCAAGAGAGTAGATATATTAGATTTAGCTTAAGTTAGGAAAGGTAGAGATATAATTAAAAGATTCATGTAGTCAACCACACCTAGTGGAACAAAGGCTTGATGTTGCTGTCATTTTCTACCAAAATGATCTATGCAAAAGAAAATCCTAAAACAAATCAACGGGAGCTAACACAACTCATAAAATACAGCTTCAGTGGTAAAAGATTAGGTTGCAATCCCATTTACAACTATCCATTGGCTGCCATATGCAGTGGCAGGGCGGCTCCATCTCTGACAAGGCACTAGCCTCCATCAATAGTAATAATATTGCGAGCAGAAGCAGGCCTTGACAAGAACAAACAATGGCAAGAAAAAAAAGCCATATTCTTGTTACACCAGGTGATCTTCATTGTCCTCCAAAGAATGTTTGTATGTTAGCGTGATGGCAGAGAACTGAACTGAGCTCAAACACAGCTGCCGGCATGGGCAGGCCTGAAACCAAGCGCATCTCTTTCGAGAGGAATTGCACAAATACTTTTGCTGAATTACACTCAGCAGTTTATTTGAATTCTTTGAGCTTCGCGTGAACTCTGATTGAGATTTCGTTTGAGACGGCTTTCTTATTGCTTCTTAAAGCGATTTTTTAATACAAAATTTTAAAATATTATACTAAAAAACAGTTTTAAGAAGCAGTAAGAAAACCGTCTCAAACGAAGCCTGAGATTACCATCAGAGATTGCAGATCCATGATGATTAGATCAGCGCTTTTTTGGAATAGAACGTATGACTTGAAGAAAAGAATTTCAATCTGAGCTTTCTGGGCAATGAAAGATCAGCACAGCGAAATCTCAGATGGCCGCAGTGAAGAAGAAATGATTCAGATTACCAACATGAGACTCTATCGCTGGCCACTTTTAATACAATCTAGTTCACTACTTGCCAACTTGATTCTTGAAGCCAAATCATCCATCATCATGTAGATCTTATCTATCTCTGGCTGCAGCCTATCTCCAACTTTAAAATTATGAACAAGATCATTCAAATCCACAAGCCTATGACCAGGCTTCAATCTGACTCTTCTTTCCTTTGCCAGGTTTTTTACCTTATAAGCATCCTCCCATCTATAAGCTGCAACGTAAATATTCTGAAGCAATGTGTAGGCTGAGATATTGGAAGGCTCTAACTCCATTAATCTCTTTGCTATTCTTTCACCCAGTTCAAGATCACCATGAAATCTGCAGAGTCCAAGCAGGCCACTCCAAATCAAAGACTCGGTTTCTTCGGGCATGCCCATTAGTACTTGTACTGCTTCATGGATGAACCCTAGGCTGCCATAGAGGTTAGACAAGCACCAATAATGAGCAAATGTTGGTTTGAGATTATAGATGTTCGTCATTTGGTTGAAATACTTTTTGCCTTCATCCAAAAGCTCCGCACGGGCACAAGCGCACAGAACTGCTATAAAAGTAACTTCATCCGGAGAAATTCTTGTTGAGTGTTCACCTAATAAAGAGAAGCAAAACAAAAGTGTGAGATCAATCGTTTTGCGAACAATTTGTACTAACTGATGCTATAATGTTAATCTAACGTTAGACTAAGGCTTTGTTTGGGACGGCTTTCTTTCTGCTTCATAAACTGCTTTCTAGTACCTTATCTAAATTTAAAGCATTATATTTATGAATCTTCTTTATATCTAACTATACTTCATATTTTGAATCAATCATATATATCTCATTATTTTATTCATTATGCTTTCTCAGATTTCTTCCTTAAAACTCCTTTTTAATAATTTCTCAAACTAGCAATTTCATCTTTTTCTGATGTAATCTTTTGTGGTGTGTGCTGAAAATTAAAAAATATTATCTAAATTTGGTATATACATATAAACAACCAAATATTTAAAAAACCCGATTCAAACTAAGTCTGCCTAGTTCAAATCAGCTTGATTTGATTCAAGTTAAGCTGATTCAGTCTATTTTGTCTCAACTCAAAAGGAACTCAAATATAGTGCAACAACATTGTCAAGAATGGGTGAATAATTCAAAAATTCAGCACCAAGATGATAAAATACTTCCAAGTTTATCATAAAAGAAGAGCATATGGCCCTCTAAGTAAAGAAACAATACAAGCAACAAGCTAATTACAACAGCCTGTGGTTCATGTTATTTCAACATTAAACCAACCCCCAAACCCATTTTAGTTATTTATTATTAATTGAATTGAACTTGTTGGTCTATCCCTTTATTAGACAAATTGATTTATATAAACACTATAAATAGACCCCTAAGGCTGTAATTTCACTTCAAGAAATAAGATTTTTATTTTCATCCTTTCTAATCCCTCTTTTTCCTCTGCTTCTTCCTTAAGGAGTTTACAACTATTCAAAAGGTGCTTGCTCCTTCTTGATGTAAATCAAGAAGCTTATCAAATGGTGCTCTTGTTGCCCTAAACTTCATTCCTCCGCACAAGATCCATTTCTTCCCTAGGCCAGGACTTCTTTCCTCAAGCCGGCAGTAGCTACCACATTCTTCACCTCCAGCAGACATCTCTTCTTCTCGTCAGCACACCATTTTTTTCTTCCTAAAAGTGTTCCACTTGCCAATTGATCTACGGCATCCAGCAGTAAACCGCAGCTAAACATCAACATCCTTGCCCTCTAGCGCTCTACAATTTTCAAGATTCTACCTTATGTTCAAAGAACCGGACTTCAACATCTTGCATACCAGCAACTCTCCAATGCACAGCTCAAGATTCCTCCATCCGGCCTCAACTCCAATCCTTCGACCAAACCTTCTCTAACCATCCATAAATATCCTAACCTCTCAATTCAAAAAATCTCTCCTGTTGTGTCATTCTAGGCATACATTGGCTACAATCCTTAGGACCAGTCTTACATAATGGGGCCTAATGCATCAGGCTATAAGTTGGGGGCAGTTCTCATTCAGAATCAAAGACCCATAACTTATTTCAGCCAATTGTTGATTACTAAGGCAAGCTTAAGTCTATGTATAAAAGGGAGTTGATGACAATAGTGTGTTATACGGCCGGCCCAGGAGGGGCCGGCTGGACCGGTCCTCTTCACTCCAAGCAGCCCCACTTGGAGTGGAATCAGAGCGGGGGAGGCAGCCCTTGTGGGCCTAAACAATTAATGTAATGAGCTTTAGGAGGAAAATTTTGAATTAAGGGGCTGTTTAGGGATTTTAAATTAGTCATTTTACTTTAATTAGGAGTTAAGGTGTGAGTTAGGGTTTCATCTTGAGATTTGCTGAAATTTTGAGATAACCTCTTGGTTTTGGGCTCTAGGCTTTGCTAGAGAGTTTTGAAGAGTTGTTCTTCCTCTCGAATTGAAGAACAATTGTATCTTTGCTATTTTACTTCGTCTTCTAGTGGAATACAAGTCTTGCATTGAGTTTTCCTCTCAGTTTTCTCTGGATTGTGCTGTTTTCCTGTTTTCCTACTGTAAACAGCAGATTTCTGCTGTTTTCTTGCTGTGAACAGCGGTACTCTCGCTGTTTAATCACCGATTTGGGTTAGGGTTGCTTGCGAATTCAAGTATTACCTTAGGGTTACTTGCGAACTCAAGTATTTCCTATCAAATTGGTATCAGAGCGTCGATTTGAAACCGTAGGCGGCTGAAATTCGGAAATTTCAGCGGGTTTTTGACAACCGGAAGAAGATCTTTGTGATCCGTGGGAAGAGAGATGGCCGGGAAGAAGGTAGAGGTCTTGGAAGGTGAGATCGGTCAACTAAAATCAAATTTGGAGGGAAAGTTCATTGACTTTCAAACTCAAATCACCTCCAACAATGAAAGGATAGAGGGAAAATTCACGGTGATGGAAGAAATGTTGAAGAAACTGTTGGAGTTGAAGACAAATTCTACGACATCGGAAGCAAGAGAGGCCACCGGAGGCCATGGTGTAGGAGGGAATCCGAACCCGTTTAGGGGGAGGAGAAATCCGGAAGTGGAGGTCATTGAGGGGGAGGATGACATGCCACCTCTAGAGCCACTCTCTAGAGAGGATATAAGTTTGGGAAATGACCGGAGGGGTGCTGATTTCGTCGGGAGAAAGGAAGAATTTCTTCGCCGAGGCGCTGATTTTGAAGGGAGAAGAAGGGAATACGATGAAGGGTTCATGTATAATCACCGGAGGGAAGATCGAGACAGTTGGGGAGCACCTCCTTTTTGAGGAATGGGAGGTTATGGAGGATTCAGGGGATACAGGGGAGACTCACGGGTGAGGAAACTGAAGATTCCCGTCTTTGAGGGTGAAGACGGTCATGGTTGGATTTATAAGGTGGAGCTTTACTTTGCTGTCAACAGGTTGACAGAGGAAGAGAAGCCGACGGCGGCGGTATTGTGTTTGGAAGAAAAAGCTTTGACATGGTATCAGTGGCGTGATAAGAGGGAGCTCATCCGGAGCTGGAGAGAGTTAAAAGATTGCTTATTAGAGCGTTTCTGAGTCGATGGGAGAGAAGATTTCTATTAGCAATTATTTGCCTTGACTCAGAAGGGGACTGTGGCAGATTATCAGGACAGAATTGAGTACTTGGCTAGCAGATTGGATCATATTTCAGAGTCAACCCTAGATGAGAACTTCATGAAGGGGCTTAAACCTGAGATACGAACAGCAGTTAGGGTGCTGGAGCCGAGGAACCTAGGGAAGGCGATGGAGCTAGCACACTTGGTGGAAGATCAGAAGAAATCAGAAAGAGGAGCTCGAGAGAACTATTCAGAGGGATCATACAAGATGACTACCACCTTCTTACCATCAAAAGGGGAAGCGCCTAAGAAGAAAATTGGAGGGGGAAATGGGAGACAATTCAAAAAGCTGACAAAGAAGGAGATGCAGGACAAGAGGGCAAAGGGGTTGTGCTTCAAATGTGATGAGAAGTACATGTCGGGGCATAGGTGCAAAGACCGAACTCTTCAGGTTTTCCTTATATGTGAAGACGAGGAAGGTGAGGAGGGAGATGGGAGCAGATCTGAAGAGGAGGAGAAGCTGCTCCTGGATGTGGCAGAAGTATCTCTGAACTCTGTAGTGGGATTCACTCCGAGTCACACTATGAAAGTGAAAGTAGAGATAGCTGACAATGAGGTGATGGTGTTGATTGATAGTGGGGCAACCCACAATTTCATTTCCAACCAGATTGTTGAGCTGTTGAGGATGGAGTTGGTGGATACAGGAGGCTATGGGGTGATGATGGGCACGAAAAAGGTGGAAATAGGTAAAGGAGTTTGTAGATGGGTGGTGCTGAAGATTCAGGGGATCCAAGTGAGGGAGGACTTCCTTCCCTTGGAATTGGGGAGCACTGACGTCATCCTAGGGATGAAGTGGTTGTAAACATTGGGGGATACCAAGATCAATTGGGGTACATTAAAGATGTAGCTGGTGGTGGGGGGAAGGAGGATGATTTAGGATGATGTGGGTTGACCAAGGCTAAGATTTCTCTCAAATCCCTAATCAGAATCATTCAGGAGGAGAGAGGAGGCTACTTAGTGGAGTTGCACCGCTAGAAGGGGTCAGACTAGAGGAAGAAGGCAATGTTTTATCTTCAGTGCAGCTGCTCATACACTAGTTCAATGAAGTCTTTCAACCTCTCCAGGGTTTACCTCCTCAAAGGGAGTTGGAGCACGCCATTACTTTGAAAGAAGAGGAGACACCGATCAGTGTCTGCCCTTACTGTTACCCACAGATTCAGAAAGATGAGATTGAGAAGTTGATCCGGGAAATGCTGAAGGCGAGGATCATCAGATCCAACATTAGCCCTTTTTCTAGTCCAGTTCTCCTGATCAAGAAGAAGGATGGGAGTTGGAGATTCTGTGTGGATTACAGGGCTCATAATAGGGGCACTATTCCAGACAAGTTCCCAATTTCGGTGATTGATGAGATGTTGGACAACCTATATGAGGAAATTATGTTTTTCAAGCTGGACTTAAAATTCGGAACCACCAGATCAGAATGAGGGAGGCAGATGTTCCAAAGACAGTCTTCAGGACACATGAAAGGCATTATTAATTTCTGGTAATGCCCTTTGGATTGACAAATGCTCCTGCCACTTTTCAGTCTTTAATGAACGGGGTATTCAAGCAGCACCTCAGGAAGTTTGTCCTAGTCTTTTTTTATGACATTCTGGTGTATAGCAATACTGTGGAGGAGCACTTGGAACATTTGCGAGTTGTCTTAGAAGTTCTTCAGGAGCGTCAACTGAAAGCCAACCTGAAGAAATGCAGCTTTGTTCAATCAAGAGTGGAGTACTTGGGACATGTGGTATATATCCCAAGGAGTGTCGGTGGACCAGACCAAAATTGAGGCAATATAAAAATGGCCACTGCCTAGGAACATCAGGGAGTTGAGGGGTTTCTTAGGATTGACTGATTATTATCGGAAGTTTGTGAATGGGTACGGTACCATTACATGGCCTTTGACTGAGCATCTGAAGAAAGATAATTTTTCTTGAGGAGAGGCAGCGACCCAGGCTTTTGAGAGGTTAAAGGAAGCCATGACCAATGTTCCTATTCTAGCTCTTCCAAACTTTAGCCAGGTCTTTGTAGTAGAGGCCAATGCATCAGGATATGGGTTGGGGGCCGTGCTGATGCAAAATCACAGGCCTATAGCATACTTCAGTCAAGTGCTATCGACCAGGGCAAGACTGAAGTCAGTGTACGAGAGGGAGCTGATGGCCATTGTCTTGGCTATTCAGAAGTGGCGCCCCTATCTTTTGGGTCGACGCTTCATCGTTCAGACTGATCAAAGGAGCTTAAAGTACCTCTTGGAGAAAATAATAATAACTGAGGAGCATCATTAGCGATGGCTATCCAAATTATTAGGCTATGATTTTGAGATTCAGTACAGGCTAGGCTTGGAAAATAAAGCAGCTGACGCTTTATCCAGATGCGTTGGGGAGCTAGCTGTGTCTGTACCTTTGATGGTCGACTGGGGGGGGCATCAAAGAAGAAAGCATGTTGGATGAAGGATTGAGAAAGATCAGGGAAGATCTGAGGAAAGACAAGAGTAGCCATCCTGGTTACTGCATTGAGGGAGAGAGACTATTGTACCAAGGGAGGTTTGTGATGCCACGAACCTACATCTATATTCCACACTTGTTGCAGGAGTTCCACGGTAGTACAGTTGGAGGCCATTTAGGAGTTCAGAAGACATACAGGAGGCTATCAGCTGAGCTCTACTAGAAGGGGATGCATAAAAATGTTGAGGAGATGGTGGCGAGGTGTGAAGTGTGCCAAAGAAACAAATACATGACCATGGCTCTATGAGGACCACTACAATCATTGACACTTCTAAACAGAGTTTGGGAGGAAGTGTCCATGGATTTCATCGACAATTTACCCATATCAGAAGGATTCACGGTCATCCTGGTGGTGGTTGACAGACTCAACAAATATGCACACCTCATCCTCTTACGACATCCTTACACAATTGTGTCAGTAGCAGCAGCATTTATCATGGAGGTTGTTATACTGCATGGGATTCCTGAATCGATTATGTCTGATCGAGACAAAGTATTTCTCAGCCAATTTTGGAAGGAACTGTTCAAGATGCAAGGCACGATCCTAAAGAGAAGCATCGCCTACCATCCACAGATAGACAGGCAAACGGAGGTAGTAAACCGAAGTTTGGAGACCTATTTGAGGTGTTTTGCTTCTGAAACATCGCAAATGTGGGCAAAGTGGCTGCCTTGGGCCGAGTATTGGTACAATACGTCGTACCATTCTGCCTCTCAGATGACCCCATTTAAAGTGTTTTACGGAAGGGACCCCCCACACCTAGTGCACTATGGGAGAGGAAGTACACCGATTTCTTTAGTTGAGCAATAGCTGGAGGAAAGGGATAAGGTGCTAGAAAGTTAAAGAAACATCTGTTAAGAACACAACATATCATAAAGAAGCAGGCGGACTCACAAAGGAGGGACATGCAGTTTGAAGAGGGGGAGAAGGTATTCCTAAAACTACGACCCTACAGGCAGAGGACAGTGGCGAGAAGGATGAATGAGAAATTGGCACCAAGGTACTTCGGCCCCTATGAAGTGTTGGACAAAATCGGAGCAGTGGCGTACCGACTGAAGTTGCCCCCATCAGCTACCATATTGAATTAAGGGGCTGTTTAGGGATTTTAAATTAGTCCTTTTACTTTAATTAAGAGTTAAGGTGTGAGTTAGGGTTTCATCTTGAGATTTGCTGAAATTTTGAGATCACCTCTTGGTTTTGGGCTCTAGGCTTTGCTAGAGAGTTTTGGAGAGTTGTTCTTCCTCTCAAATTGAAGAACAATTGTATATTTGCTATTTTATTTCGTCTTCTAGTGGAATACAAGTCTTGCATTGAGTTTTCCTCTCTGTTTTCCTTGGATTGTGCTTTTTTCCTGCTGTAAACAGCAGATTTCTGCTGTTTTCCTATTGTGGACAACGATATTCTCGCTGTTCGATCACCGATTTGGGCTAGGGTTGCTTGCAAACTCAAGTATTACCTTAGGGTTACTTGCTAACTCAAGTATTTCCTATCATAGTGTTGGCCATACAAAAGTGGCGTTCTTACCTGATAGAGTGACACTTCATAATTAGGATCGACTAGAGGAGTTTGAAGTTCCTGTTAGAGCAAAGGATGGTGATAAAAGAGCATCAGTGGCATATTTCCAAGTTGTTAGATTATGACTTCGAGATCAAGTATAAGCCTAGGCTAGAAAATAAAGTTGCAGACTCATACACCGTCTCTACTACCCTCAACTTTGATAGAAGATATGGATTTCATTTTGGAGCCCATGAAATTAGAAGGGGTGCGTTGAGGGAAAACATGAGCACATGAGGTACTAATCAAGCGGAAGTATTTGTCGGAGCAGGAAGCTACATGGGAGCCATACGAGAAGGTCAGGAGATAGTTCCCGTCCTTCTACCTTGACGATTATATGCTTTTTTTTTTTTGTGTGGGGGGGTTGGGGGGGGGGGGGGGGGGGGGGGGGGGGGGGGGGGGGGGGGTGTATTGTCACGCCCATGCCATGGTTTAATAATTAATATGTAAGGAGGCATCAAGAAAGAGTTATTTAGGAAAATTTTAATTAAAATTGGTAAGGAATTATATAGGGAAAGAGATCCAAATTAATTCAAATATGAGAGGGAATTATTTAGGGAAATGTGACTGATTTGGGAGGGAATTAGAAAAGCTATTTAGGGGTAATTATATTGTTATTTTTATTTCAGCAATTTATTTTCTGCTGAAGTTTTCTTTGAAGAGTTTCCTAGCAACGCCTAGGATTTGTGGGAGAGCCAATGTATCTCTCAAATAGTAGATCACGTGTATCTTTCTTTCTTGTTGAAGAGATAATCACAAAATCAGCCCCTAACTTCGTATTCCTGCATCTTCTATTTGTTTACTTTATTGTTTTTACATCCAAGATGCATCACACCGCAAGGGTTACCACCACCATGTACCATCAACCACCGTACCTATCTTCCATCTTTATCAAAACCTATTAATATTTGTCTTTATCATTACTCACATTATCAAAAGTATGCGATGGAACAATTTGTTTCAAAAATGTTATAATCTGACAATATTAACCACAGTCATAATCCTTTTTCTAGCCCTATTCTTCTTGTCAAAAAATGAGATGACACTTAACATTTTGGTGTAAACTATCGTGTCCTTAATGCCCTAATTATTAAAAATAAATTTCCCATTCCAACTATAAATGAATTGTTAGATGAACTTCAAGGAGTCTATTGTTTTATTCTAAACTTGGCCTTCATTACATATATCATTAAGTCTGTATGCATTCAAATGATTTACATAGCATTGCTTTTTGCACTCATGATGATCGTTATGAATTTCTTGTTATGCATTTTGACTTAACTAATGCTCTCTCCACATTTCAAGCCTTAATGAACCCAATTTTTTGATATTTACTTCGTAATTGTCACTATTTTTTTATGATATTCCCATATATAGTCTTATTTAGAACTTCGTATATTATCATCTCCTCATTTTTCAATGTTTACTGACAAACCTTTTTCAAAATTAAATAAATGTCAATTTTTTCAATCCTCCATTGAGTATCTTGGTCATATTATATGTTCTGGTAGTGTCTAACACGATCCTAGGAAAATTTCAGTTAAAACTTCGATAAGTGGAACAATCATATTGAGGTACAAAATATTTCTATTTTTATCTTATTTTCTGCATAATAATTTATGTAATCAATTTGTAACGTCGAAGTACAACTCAACTCTAAAAATAGGGGGTCAAAGAGTGAGCCTAGTTTATGCAATTTTTTATACTCAAGCCTATTTTATCGAAATTTCAGTGCTTCTCATTCTAGATTTTTTTTCCTCTCTAATTATATGCTCTCTTTTTTGCTCAATATTCTCAGTAAAGCTTGGCATAATTCAATAAGAATTCAGAATTCAACAACATACTCATCTAAACAATTGGGAGATGCTAGGCATTGGAGAGAAAATTTGCAGAGAAAATGAAGTGGATCAAGCGCCATCTAAGCAGCCATCATTGCTTATACGAATCATGTTTTTTTTCAAATTTATATGCCCATCATCATGACAAGAGAAAAAAAAAACTATCTTTGCAAGGAAATAAAATTAAAAAATCAAACAATTCCGAAATGAATGAATCATGTAAGGGAGAAATATAAATAAATCGTCACCTGAAACTAATTCTTCAAACAAAGCGAGACCATCCTCCGGTGAACCATGAATACAATGCCCCCGAATCATTGCATTCCAACAAACCAAATTCCGCTCGCTGATCACATCAAACACTCTTTTAGCAGCTTCCACCTTCCCACACCTACTGTACATGTCCACCAAAGCTGTCCCAAGAACTAAATTATGATCATCAAAATTCCTAATGTATTGCCCGTGAACCGACTTTCCATCCTTGATGGCACCCAAACGCCCACAGGCCGTCACCATGCTCACCAATGTCGTAATGCTCGGTCTAAATCCATTCCGCATCATCTCTCTAAACAGCTTCAGCCCATACTGCGGCAACCTTCCTTTCAAGTACCCATTAATCATGGCATTCCAAGACACAACATTTCTTTCAGGCATTAGCTCGAACAGCTCACGAGCGCTTGCAACGTCACCCACCTTCACGTATCCATCAACCATCGCATTCCAGGAGATGATATCCCTCTGCGGCATTTCATCGAACAGAGCACGGGCACCGCAAGCAAGGCCACATGCAGCGTACATGGTGATGAAAGCGTTGCCCACATAGACAGAAGCAGTGGTTGCGCCACGCTTAAAGGCTTGAGAATGGGAGATTTCTCCGTCGGTGAGATCCGAAGAGCGGGCGGCCGAGGCCGCAACGCAAGGAAAGGTGAAAAAGTTAGGGGAGAATCCAGCGGCGAGCATGCGGAAGAAGAAAGGGAGGGTGCGGCGAGGGGAAGGGGAGAAAGAGAGGATTTTGAGGATGGTGTTGACGGAGAAGGTATCGGGTGGCGAAGGACGGGCTCGATGGCGACCGAGGAGGATACGAGCGGCTTGAACGGCGTCGCCTGAGGCGGCGATGGCGGCGGCGGCGCGGAGGGTATGGCCGGCTGACGGAGGAGGAGGGATGTTGACCGGGCCATTCATTGCGGCCGAGATCTGGCTCGCGGTTGGTTAATATGATCATTTTTTGGTGAGATTTGGGTTTGGATTTTGGATTGGGCTATGGAATAGGTTTCGTGCGGACATCATGTTCTTGTTAACTCAATCCGGAGATCAGAAAGAGGAAAAGATTAGCAAAATTAAATTAGATAAAATTAAAAAACCATTTTTTTATCAGGCTTTGAAATTTCTTTGTTTTTTTTTTTCTCTCTCTCTCTCTTGGGACATTTAAAAAACCTAGTAACTTTGTTTGCATTGATAAATATATGGCATACTTTTGGTTCAAATCTTAGAAATTTTACAAGTAAAATCTGCCCATATGAATGCCAGTGTTACCCTAAAAATTAGTAATTTTATTAAGTTTATATGCATCCTTATAAGGATACTAAAATTTTAATGAAGCTCTGATAAATTTTATTTCAGTAGACCTAAGTTCTCTTGATTAATTAAAAAAAATTGTCCAAAACTCAAATTGAGTGAAAAAAAAGAAATAATTATTGTCCTAACATGCCCTTGATTTTGGATCCCACTAATAGAATCTCAATATCAAATCTCACAATATGTTTTGATTGAATAATAAAATATTTGTTGGACTTTAATTTTTAAGATATTTTATATGAAGTGAAATGAGAAAAAGAAACATCTTAGATATTGAAATATCTTATAATTTTTTATTTTTTATGTATAGAAATATATGATCAAATTGATGTTTTTCAATATCTTTCTGGTTCGCCCTTCCCCTCCAGTAATTTTTTACTATATACCTCAACCTCTAAATTCTCGAGCTCTCATCTCCTCCTTGTTTAATTTAGAATTTAGATATGGCTTTGTTGCGTCCTGGAGTATTCGCGGCGGTAGAGAAATATATAATTTAACGTCTTAGCATTATACGAAAATCCAGCAAACAATCAGATAAGAGAGAGGGTGTAGCATTCATAAGAGACATCAGAGTTTTTACGTGGAAATCCCTAAAAAAAGGGGGGAAAAATCACGGGGCCTAGCCCAATTTTAATGAATCCATAGTATTTATTGTCGATTACAAATGAGGCCCTTCCACGGGAGAACGCCTTGGCTTAATGTTATAAATGTACATCATATGGAATGCATTACATGGTGGGAGTTACAATATATGTGTTTGTTTTTTCGGCACGATCATAGTCGATAGGATGGAGGCCAGAAAGACCGTTGTCTCATGATGGAGGTCGGAAGGACCATAGTAAGTGACGGAGATCAGAAGAACCATAGTCGGTAGGAGATCGGGGTAAGAAAGGCCGTATTCTATTACTGGAGGCCGGAAGGAGCATAATAGGTGACGGAGGTCAGAAGGACCATAGTCGGCAGGAGACCGAGGTCAGAAAGACCGTTGTCTTTTGATGGAGGTCGGAAGGACCATAGTAGGCGATGGAGGTCAGAAGGACCGTAGTCGGCAGGAGACCAAGGTCATAAAGACCGTTGTCTGTTGATGGAGGTCGAAAGGATCATAGTAGGCGACGGAGGTCAGAAGGACCGTACTCGGCAGGTGACCGAGGTCAGAAAGACCGTTGTCTGGTGATGGAGGTTGGAGTGACCATAGTAGGCGACGGAGGTCGGGAGGACCATAGTCGGCAGAAGATAGGAGTCTGGAAGACCGTAGTAGAAGGATGGTACTTCGGTAGAACTCCTGCCGTCAGGTGGTGGCCTGGTGGAGCTCAAGGCCTAAAGTAGTCGTCCGACGGAAGTCTGGGCCTCAGGTAATGGTCCGGTGGAAGTCCGAGCCTCAGATGGTGGTCCGACAGAAGTCCGGGCCTCAGGTGGTGTCCGATAGAGCAACGGCGTCAGACGGTGGTCCGGTGGAGGCGAGGGCCTTAAGTGATGGTTCGGCGGAGCAACGGCGTCATGCGGTGGTCTGACGGAGGTGAGGGTCTTAAGTGGGGGTTCAGCAGAGCAACGGCGTTATGCAGTGGTCCGGCGGAGGTGAGGTCCTTAAGTGGTGGTTCGGTGGAGCAACGCGTCTGGCAGTGGTTCGGCGGAGGTGAGGTCCTCCAATGGTGGTCCGGCGAAAGTCCGGTGGTGGTCGAGGAAGGCGAGGGCCTTAAGTAGTGATCCGGTGGAGGTGAGGGCCTCTAGTGGTTATGCAGAAGAAGTCCGGCGGTGGTGGACAATTGGTGGTTCGACGGAACTCCGGTGGTGGTCTGATGAAACTTCGGCGGTGGTCAAGGAGGCAATGAAGCAAGAGCGATCTCTGATCTCTCTCTTTTTTCCTTAGGCTTAAGGGGTTTCCTTTTCAAGAGTATAGGAAGCTCTATTTATAGATTTCTGGAGTGACATGGCCCGTAAATAGGTGAGAGATCAAAGGTAAATGGGGAGTGGTCGGATGAACGACCGATGTTGAATCCCTTGATTATGCACCATTCTTTAGACATTTGAAGACCTTAATGATGCCAGAATTTGGAAATCTTGGGCTCGTTGAATTTGTCTCGTCGAGCCGCTCGATTTGAATATAAGATTGTTATGTTTGAAAACCGTTTGGTAATCTAAATTGTGGTTTGAACCTTCTAACAGTGCTTCGGGTCCTTGATTTGGACCCATTTGGGCTCGGATTGAGTCGAATTTGGTGTCGTGGGGTTTGTATTTCTGAGACGCTCAGTTCAACTATAAGTTTACTGAAATCAGAGTTTGGATGGTCTCCGAATTAATTTTTGAAGTTTCCAATTTGATTTTGCATCGAGATTCGTGCTCGATTAAGATAATTTTTTTGACAACGTATCAGTTGCCCTCTTATTTTCGAACGTCGATACTCCAGATGTCCGAAAATATATGTGTAGACATTTCACATTAGCCAAATCGCAAAACATTGCGTTCCAAAAATTAATTTCTTTCTCAAACTTGATCGTAAAGGCCCCGTTGAGCTTCGAAAGTGCTAAAATTGACTCCGAAACGTCGAAAAACATCTCTGGAGACCCCAAAAATGTCAAAATCGGATAGTCCGGGCCAATAATCGGGCCCGGACACGCGTAGGCGGCTAAACCGGCCGTTTGGCCGGCCGGCCGCCGGCGGCGGTTCTCGAACCGCGTGTGCGTGCGGTTTGATTTGAGAAGCCGATAATTGCTGGCTGCAGTTTATAATTTTTTATTTATTTATAACTTCCCCAACTTCCTCTCTTCCCTATAAATACCCCCCTAAGGGGTATGAAATCTTTGCACCTCCTCTCCTCCTCTCTTCTCTCATTAGAGGCCTTCCTCTACCCTTGGACAATTTGTATCCATTGTTCAACAGCAGGGCCACTCTTTACGAGGAGTTTCATTCATTTCTCTACGGCGCTCTTGCTATACGGGAGGCTTTCCCTTGCCCTTGGACAATTAGTATCCATTGTCCAACAGCAGGGCCCCTCCCTATACTGGAGTTCCGACCACCTCCCTTATTCCCTTCAGCGCTCTTAGCTATACGGGAGGCCTTTATCTACCATTGGATAATTGGTATCCATTGTCCAATAGCAGGGCCCCTCCCTATACTAGAGTAATGTTGGGCGACCACTTTCCTTTGAGAGATTCCGCGGTTAGAGAAAATCCTGCCATCCCGCCTGACGGTGGGCAGAGGCCTGACAAAGGAGTGAGGGAAGATGATCTGGCATCGGGTAGAAGTACAGCGTCGGGAAGAAGATCGACGAAAGTCCATCGACAGGTAGAAGTCCGACGATGGGTAGAATTCCAATGTCCGGTAAAAGTACGGTGTCAAGTAGAAGTATAAAGTCGGGTAGAAGACCGACGAAAGTCCATCAACGGGAAGAAGTCCGACAATGGGTAGAAGTCCGACGTCCAGAAGTACGATGTAGGGTAGAAGTATGATGTCGAATAGAAGGTCGACGAAAGTCCATCGACGGGTAGAAGTACGATGGCATGTAGAAGTCTGACATCGGGTTGAAGTACTGAGTCGGGTAGAAGATCGACGAAAGTCCATCGACGGGCAGTAGCCCGACGACAAGTAGTAGTCTGACTGCAGGCAGAAGTCTGACGTCGGGTAGAAATACAACGTCAGGCAGAAGATCGACGAAAGTCCATCGACGGACAGAAGTCTGATGATGTGTATTAGTCTGATGGAAGGCAGAAGTCTGACATCGAGTAGAAGTACTGTGTCGGGTAGAAGACCGATGAAAGCCTATTGACAGACAGAAGTCTGACGATAGGCAGTAGTCCGACAGCAGGCAGAAGTCCGACGTCGGGTAAAAGTACTATGCCGGGTAGAAAACCGACGAAAGTCCATTGACGGACAGAGGTCCGACGACATACAGTAGTCTGACGGTAAGAAGAAGTCCGATGTCGGGTAGAAGAACAACGTCGAGTAGAAGACTAACAAAAGTCTATCGATGGACAGGAGTCCGACGACATGTAGTAGTCCGACGGCAGGTAGAATTCCGATGTCGGGTAGAAGAACAACGTTGAGTAGAAGACTGACGAAAGTCCATCGATAGATAGAAGTTCGACGACATGTATTAGTCTGATGGTAGGCAGAAGTCCGACATTGGGTAGAAGTACTACGTCGGGTAGAAGATCGGTGAAAGTCTATCGACGGACAGAAGTTCAACGACATGTAGTAGTCTGAAGGTAAGAAAAAGTTCAATTTCAGGTAGAAGAACAACGTCGAGTAGAAGACCAACAAAAGTCTATCGACGGACAGGAGCCCGACGACATGTAGTAGTCCAACGGCAGGCAGAAGTCCGATGTCGGGTAGAAGAACAATGTTGAGTAGAAGACCGACGAAAGTCCATCGACGGATAGAAGTCCGACGACGTGTATTAGTCCGATGGCAGGCATAAGTCCGACATCGGGTAGAGTACTGTGTCGGGTAGAAGACCGATGAAAGTCCATCGAGGGATAGAAGTCCGACAACATGTAGTAGTCTGACGGTAGGCAGAAGTCTGATGTCGGGTAGAAGAACAACGTCAAGTGAAAGACCGACGAAAGTCCATCGATGGACAAAAGTTTGATGACGGGTATTAGGCTGACGGCAAGCAGAAGTCTGACGTCGAATAGAATTCTGATGAAACTCCTGCAAGGCAAAATTTCAGTAACGAGAGGAAATTCAGTATCATGTGGAAATTTAACTTTGTAGAGAAGTCTGATGAAAAAT